CTACAGTATTTAGTGCCTTGTAGTACAGCGGCTTCTTCCACATTTTGTCAGCACTGAAATGATCTGTCAGTCATGTTGTTTGCATTGTGAACCTGCAAAAAAATGAGAGTATATTGAGTATCATGATGGGTTTTTATTAGTAATTAGCATTGGTCATTTTTAACGACCAATGCGCATTCTGTTACACATGATTATTAAAACCAATTTACGCAAAAATCGTTGAAATGCTGATATGTTTGATAATCGTTGAACCTGTGTGCAGTTCCTAGATTTCTGCATCAACATGTTTTGAATGTCCGTAAGATGTCTCTCAGCATTGTATCTGTACTGTCAGTCATAAAACAAGAGTATAAGAGCAGAATATACATATGATTGATTTAGGTATTCCGTAAACCAAGACTTCATTTTATAATCTAACGCACCATCTATTAAACAAACATTGAATTGAACAATGAATCCACAATTAGGCAGAGGCCATCGGGTATCATTTTGCTTTGTTTGTTTTTTTAGCAATTTATTTGCGATTCATCAAATGCAGCTGCTGGAAAGTGCACTAGTTAATTGGTGCTGCACCCCGTGTCTCTCTCTCTCTCTCTGTATATACAGTGTATATATATATATATATGGGGGAGAGCATCATTCCAAGCTAATTAGTAGGTTTATAGCCTAATGAAAAAGGTCTATTAAATAGGCCGGACTGCTTTGTAATGACTCTTGTTTAGCTTCAATGTCTTTTTATTATTCAGGTTTATTTCAGCCATGATGAACAGCAGTTGCCCGTGCAACTGGTAATTTGCAAAGGTCGGAAAACAGGGTAATCCAGTGAGGAGGGGGATCACTCCTCAGCTGGAGAGTCATGTCCAATGAGTTGAAAATCCTAAAAACTGGAAGAGGTCTGTCTCATTCAGGTGAATTTTAACTTTATTCTTCTCTGTCCCTCTCAGCAGGGCGTTAGCAGGGAGTTTGTGCTGTATGAAATCAGACAGGCTGTTGCTGGCCCATTGTCTCTTTGTCAAAATAAATTAAATTCTATACCTATCTTATACTTGCTAGGTAATCACATGATATTTAAACATTCCTTGTTCCACACGATGACAAAATATGGATTCATGCCTTTAAGGATTTGGTTTTGGGAGCGCCAGGATGTATTTAGGACAACTTCTTCCTGAGGCATTGGTAAATGTCAGATGGGGCAGCATTGTCTATTAGGTTCTTGCTTTAGCGCGTGCAATAATACAATAGCCCAGGACTGCACGCCATCTGTGTATCTGTTCACTGTGTATGTATTTACAATTTCTGTACATGCATGTCAGCGTGTGTGTGTGTGTGTGCATGTACATGTACAAGCAACCAAAAGGCCAGTCAAAGTTGCTCTGTGCAGAATTTGCAGCTGAGTGCCTTACCTGTAGAATGTGTACTATTAGTCTAGTGTTATGTGAAGTGTGTAGCGTACATACACAGCCACACTGACAGCCTTATCAGGACAGGCAAGTGTTCTTAAGTGCTTCTATCTCGGTGAGGCTGCTGGAGGATTTGAGCAGAACGGTGTGTGGCAGTGTGAAACTCTTTCAGAGTAATGCTCTCTAAGCTTAGGACTAAGGAGTCATGAAGGATGTTGCTGCTATGATTTCTCTCTGGATGGCTACGTACTTTAACTTTAAACACATGAACAACATGTTTACCTGTTTTTTATTGGTGTACTTACAATTCAAAACTCAACTGTCAGTTCTGAACACTTTTTTTTGGCAAAATCTCTTTAGTACAAGAGTAAACATAACATAGCCGTATTAAGTGCATATGTATTTACACACACGTGCGCGCACACACACACACACTCACACTCGCACACACATTACTGTACTGTAGTTGATCTCTAATTGGTAAATAAAAGTATTTCTGTCACCACAAGGCTACCATACCACCAGAGAGTTTGTTTGTTTGTGTTTACGTCTTATTTTTGATAGCGGTTATACTTTGAGCAGTTATACTCCACATTCCCATGAGGAAGTTGGGACTATCGGAGTAAACCATATTTATCTTCCAGTCTATATGTTTGTGAATGCTAAATAGATTGTGTGGGTACGTGTACATGTGGATTTCCCGGGGAACGGCAGAGGACGCTGTCTGTTGATTTAAGCTGTGTGGCAGTTGAGAGGGGAGTAGTGACTTCGAAATGTCTCTTTAATACAGGATCACTGTTAAAAAGAGAGGCCCTGCCTCACCGGTGTTGTGGCATTGCAGGCGAGAGTGTGCAGCGTTGTGGAATGATGCTGTGCTTATTAGGTCTCTTTCTCCTGTCTGTCAGCTCTCTCATGCAAAGTCTTCTTTCTCTCTCTCGCCTCGCTTTCTCTCCCTAATCAAGTACACTTTAACAAAGTGACACAATGTTTGCTTCTCTCATCCTGTTGTATTTCCAGCAGGCACATGAAAGAACAGTTCCTCCACCACCTTGTTATCATTCTCCTTCACTGTTGTCTTTGTCGGTTTGTTTGTGTATGTGATGCCAGTGTTACCTAAGCTCTTCAGCTCTCTCTCTCTCTCTCTCTCTCTCTCTCTCTCCGTATAAAAAGTGTAATACTGTCCCAGAATCAGTTCTGTTAAACCAGCAAATGACACTGATGGCAGCTTGAAGAAGAAGGTTTTTTTTTTTTTGCTTTTGACAGAATCAGAAGCATAGTTAAATACAAATGGGCAGAGTTCAATCTATAATAGAGAAACTGTGTCTGGCCCGTGGCAGAGAACTTGCTATCCCACAGCAGAAAAGCTCAGCCTTGTGAGTATTTATTTTGACAATTTTCTGTCGAGCAAGAATTGTTGAGCATAATCCTAATTCATATTCAGACAGTCAAACTAATTCACAAAGGGAAGCTGCACAGTGCAACCACACTTTTATAGTATTCACCACAGAGAAGCAACTGGGGATTAATTGCCTTATTTTAATTTTCTCTGCCCGTCCAGGCGTTTGAACCAATGACCTTTTGGTCACAACCTTGTGTTAATCCTTCAGACTGTTGCTGCCCTAACAATGACAGTTTTACATTAGCCAAGTGAGCTGTAATCTCCCAAAGTTTTCATTTTTCATTTTTCCTCAGTCAAAGTCAGTCTCAGCTGGAGAGTAATTGATCAAACAGTGTTCCTTTGAATGTAGTCAAATGAGGAAACGTGTCCATTGGCTTTATTACGCAGATTCTACAGTGACTCATTTTGATTGCATTCAATAAAATGAAACGTGCAGAGTGCTAATCAAGTGATACAATTTAAAGTAAGTGGGTGGGCAGGTAAGAAGATTAAAGGGTAGTGCATGTAAAAAGCATTGAAACCGTTACTATTAATAAATTAATAAAGTAAACAAATACTAGCCTACTAGCCTATTGCTTAATTCAAGTGGATTTACCCGTTGAACTTTTTCTCCCACATTGCTGTGATTTGATAATTAGATGATTCAATTTCTACTTTGGTCATTTGTAACTGATCAGACTCTTCCTGCATTCCTGCCCGTCCCGTCTTTAGGGCTGCACAAGTACAACTCAGTGATATGCAGTAACATGATAATTACTTTCACAGGACAAGCTGCATCCTGAGGGCAAGATGAAAATGCAAGACACACACAGCTAGTAACTGTTAATATTGATTCCAATTTCAATAGAAAGTATAAAGCTGCTGCTTTCTCTCTTTTGTTTATATCTAAAACCCCATATGGAGCCACTTTGGGACCTTGGGTCAGTGGCTCTTAAGCGCTGCTGAAGCATCCATCCGTTCAGTCCTCACCAACTCTGACCTCTGGTATGGTCGTCACGCTTTGGGACCAGCTGTCCTGCCAACGGCACAGGTCCTGAGGTTCCGCAAGGGCAGTCGCCGGCCAAACTGTGTAACAGGCTGACTGAATATGAAAAATCATCAAACGAAACTTATATTTCGACTAAATTAAAGTAACAAAGTTCATACCCCATAGATGTGATTCTCTTTTCCTTCATAACCTCCCCCCTCGCCTGTCTCCATGGCAGAGATGAACCACAGCCTGCTTTAAAATCAATATGAAACTTGTTTAGAACATGCCCATCTCTGAAAGACCACTGCCATCTCTGCTAACAAGACAAATAAGACAGATAAACACATGCTAATGTATTCACTCATTCTCATATACCTAAATAAGCTTGTACACACATGAAGGCACACAAGCACTTTTGACACAAATTGAACAATAACACCCAAGGTACACATGCACAGAGACCTGCAATTAGAAAGTAGGGCATATGGAATACCAAGCAGTATAAATGGGACAAACGCAGACACAAGGCAACTAGTCCAGACAGCCCGTCTAATGGTGTGGATGAAGTCAGATGAAAGAGTCTATATGTATCAGTTAGTCTGTCCGTGTCTGCATTGATCACACTGCAGGCAGCTCAATACTCATCTCTAACTTTTCTCTTTCTGTCTGTTTCCTTCTACTTCCTCTTTGTCGTTTTCTCCCTGTTCAACCCCCCCCCATCAATCACCGATCAATTGACAGCCAGGAAGAGAATGTGAACGAAGTCTCGTTTGCCATGTGTGTCTATGTGCGTGAATGTGTGTGTGTGTGTGTGTGTGTGTGTGTGTGTGTGTGTCTTTCTGTAGTTGTGTATAGTGTATACAACACTATCCATTTATAAAAGGCCTGTAACCTTAACACACAGGACCTCATTTTGTAAAATGTTAGATTTGTGAAAGAAGTTATAAATAATTGAACTGTTGCTGTCTAACAAATGAAATGACATTTAGAAGTCTTTATTTATTTATTACTCTGTTTGTTTTTTAATACTTCAGCAGAATTGAATATAAAAAAATGTAGGCCATTGGCAGTTCCTTTCAGCACATTAGTTGTTTATGTTGGCAGTGTATGATTTACATATTGTACAAATATAAAAATATTGACATTCAACATTGTGAATGTCTCATTTTGGAATGTCAGCACATTCAATGGTCTTTTTTTTCTTGTTATTAACTACATCCTTCTTTTGCAGTTCAGTAGATGAGCAGTTTCGCTGGAACGCTCAAGGTAAAGTTACCTAACCTAAACCTACCCCTACCTATGAATGTTTGTACAAACACACACACACATGCTCATACTGTGCAAACGTTGCAAGATCTGACTCCAAACCATTTCACTGCTGTTGTCTAGCTTAAATTCTAGACTGGTCCCACATACAAGCGCTCAAAGAATATCAAGGGTTTTATGTTTGCCACACATCTTGAGTTCAGGGTTAGATTTATTGCCCCGACACCAACAAGGCCTGGTCCGCCTCGTGTCAGATTGACAGACTAGGACAATTGTGTGTCAAGGAACATTTTGAATTTACACCAGTGGCCCAGTAATGTATGGGCAGCAGCACCTATCAACATACCTCAAAGATTAAAAGATGATTTGCAACACACACACACACACACACACACACACACACACACACACACACTCACTCACTCACACAGAGACGTAATCACACTCTCAAATACGTATCAGAATGTGAAAGTGGTGCCAGACCAAAACCACTGTTGGATTTTATAGCCGGTGTTCATCTGCATAATTTCCAGACCAAAAGCAAACACTCTGTGCCTGTTTTTCCTCATTCATCTTCTGCTTACATCCTCATCCTCTTTTCCCCTTAGCAGGCGATGGACAAAAGGATATCGAGGACGAGTTGACCACTGGTTTGGAGTTGGTAGATTCCTGCATTCGCTCCCTCCAGGAATCAGGAATACTCGACAGTGGAGAACGTAAGTGTCTTCATCAGCATCGTTGTGTGTGTGTGTGTGTGTGTGTGTGTTTGCGTAGGGCAAGGATGATATAAACTTAATTATAAAAGTGTCTATTAAGATTACAACTATTTCAATCCATTTTGTGGTATTGACTTGACTCAGACCAGCTCAAAACTTTAACCCCAACGAAATACAATTTCATTCTAAGAACATTAAGGTACAAACTGAATTTAATTTTATTTTCAAATGTTTATTTTTAGTCACATTTGTTGAAGGATTTGATTTGTAGAGAGGGAATTAGTTCTTTTCTTTGTTAACACATTATAGATCAAAATCAAGGTCGACTCGGCTCAACTCTAGCGGGCACTTCAGAAGGGGTAAACAACCCTTTCACTGGCTCAAAAGGAATATAAATATCATTCCTAATTGTCATGCACAGTCTCTTCTTAAAACCAGTGCCTGTGGTTCGTTTAACTACGGAAGGATTATGGCGTGTATTGTTTTGTAATTATTTTTGTTTTCCTGAAAGGAAATGAGAAAATATTCTCTTATTAGTCCCTTCGTGCATTATATATCTGGCCTAAGTGCAGCAATTCCCTGTGTTAATATTGAGTTCTCACTCAGATTTCATTTCTACTTACAATAAGCAAGTTGAGTCCAGGGAGGATTTTGCTCCAGATTAGACATTATAGTTCGATTAAGTAAGTATTTCGAAATGGGAATATATTCTTTACACATAAAAATTTAGAGCAAAGCATTTTCTCACAGGGTAAGAGTTCAGCTTTGTAGTTTGTCACTGAGAGGTTAACGTAGTCAATTATTAAATATAGCTGACTCCAAAACCAGGGACTTTGAGGCCTAATTCATAACTACACGTGTTCTTCTATGGGCGGATACAAATGTCATTGCACCTTTTGATGTGGAGGCAAACGCATCACGGCCAGGCCAGATGAACACACCGTGCTGCTCCTAGATTTGTACCAACAACCGTCCAGCTCCAAGCATCTTTTCCATCCTGTATGGCCTTGTATTCTGATAAACCAATTCAAACAGGGATTGAAGTGCAGCCCGTGTATGAGATCTGCTAAATGTGCTTGGCATTTTCTTTGCAGGTCATTGGTTTTGGAACACTGCATTCCCATTTCACTTATTGTCTGGTGACCTTTTTAATAGTGGACATGGCTGTAATGGATGGCATTTTAAGAACCAGCTCAGCCCATTTCTACTTGAATGTGTACTCACATAATATACTGCTATTAGAATTGGCCAGCTAGTGTGGAGCACCTACATATGGTATACACACTATATAGCACATGCATCTGCTCATACAGAGCGCACAGATCATGAGTTGTGTAAGGAGGATTGGACAGGATAGAACACTGGAAAATAAAATAAAACTGAAAACTGGTTTGGAATATTTACCTCAAGATTACTGTTGCTCCTTTTGGTAAGAAACAGGTTGAATGTTTAAGCACATACCAAACAGTGGGGAGACGTGTCAGATACTTTGATTCTGATCATGTTTGTAGGAAGTGGCTGAATCCCCTGTCACTGCTGCTTTATCCAAGTCCAAATAGATGCCGCTATCGTTGTGAGCACTCTTATTGTGGGTGCTCCATATCCAGCTGTTTTTCCCCATTTTGCAAATGGCTTTCTACAAAAAGCATCACAATGTGTGGGTGCAGATAAATTCAGCGTAGCTATTTGGGTGTGTATGTGTTTTTTTCCCCCAAAATGGTAGCGCTGCAAATGGCTTAGTGGTGAATACACAGAATAGTGACATGTCGCTGTCTTCAGTGAAAGGTGGCACAAAACGGGGAGGCTTTTTGCCTTCAGCTGATGCTGTCGTTGGTAAGGTGCCACAACAGAGCCGCACAAATACACACAAATAAGTGCTCAGAGCCACATCCTCGCAAAAAAAGTTAACATCATGAATCTAATGTACTTCTCAAAGAAATGACTGTGGGCCCTTGGTGTATTGTATCTTAAAACCTTTAAAAAAAAAGTATAAGTCCTTGTGTGTTTGTGTGTGGAATGTATGTGGGTAAATATAGATTACATATAGAGATGAATGAGAATATGATGCTCATAATTTGACTGAGCTGCTGAACGGAGACTCTATGAGACTCAAACACTGACTAGTGACAGTGGTTTTCATTTCACCCTCTCACTCGCGCGCACATAATCACACACACAAACAGTGAACACACATCGAGTGCTTACATGTACACGTGCGCAAACACATGAGCTCCTGGATACAACAACAATTTCCCCATCGACCGGCCTAATGACTTTCCAATTGTCACAAACACGCTTTGCGTCACACGTGTGAATGCTGAAAAAGACGCACACAGTTTTTATTGTCGACAGCGCACACAATGTAACAAACACCAAGGCCGAGCAATGATGAGTTCGGAAGCGCCCACTCAGTCTGCGTAACTCAAAGTGCTGTTTAATAATTCATAAAAAGCAAGGGATGAATTGCGATGAGGAAAGACAAGTATTTTGTGAAGGCAAGAAGCAGAGGAGATGATCTTGGTTCACAGCACACAGACTCACGGGGAGAAAGGAATTCTGGGGGAAGAGAGAGAGAGAGAGAGAGAGAGAGAGAGAGAGAGAGAGAGAGAGA